AGCCTTAGTTTTCGAAGCTCTCACTGAACCTTCATAGGAGTAGGTGTGATTAGCGTAGTTTGTTACCAAAAAACCATAAAAAACATCAAACACTCTCATTCGAACATTGTTCGAAGAGGTGTGAACCGTGTTTAGAATCGTTGTTCAAGAAGTCAAAGGTGCAAGCACTAATATCAAACACAAAAGTTTTCCTCGCTGGAATACAAATTGGCACACCCGGTGAGACACTGTGTGTTTGATTTGAGGGCTCCGCGACTGAGAGAACAAGAAGGTTATCTTCCACCTGGGTTTGTAAAAGAGCTAGTGGTCAGGTATGATCTTGACCAATTAGAAAAAAGTTGTGATGGAAATAATGGTGGGGCTTGAGATCAAAGGTTTTGGCGAAAGATGGTGTAGATCCACCATCAAGTGTTGCTACTAGGGATACGAGTATTCTGAACTTAAGTAGCCGGATTGCTCAGCCACGGTCAGAGAACTCGTTGTCTCCGGTGACAAGTCAACCACCTCTTCAACGTGGTAGTTGTGACGAGAATCTCGCTCCCACGTTCCCACTCACATAAAGCAATTGCTTATACAGACAGTTACATTAGAAACTGCCTCGGAGGCTAGACTATACCTTAATGTGAAAATTGGTGGAGGGTCACTCACTACAGATGTGTTCCCACAAGCTTTGCCAAAACCACGGCCATCCATGCCCATGAAGCCTGGTGAATGCGAACCGTCAGGGGGGCTAGAAGGGTGTTGTGAAAGCTTTCCACTTGACAAGTTGAAGGTAAAATGTGAGGCTGGGGGATACGTTGATGTCAAGAAAAATGGAAAAAATGATTTGTCTAAGGACTCACCACATTTTTCAACTAAGTGTGGGGAGAATGGCATATCTCCAGTTCCATGCAGTAGGCAGAGAGGCATGTCATCAAATGTGAAGAACGAAGTGAGTGGCAAGTCTAAGCGGGTGTTGCATACCCGTGCCACCCATTATTTTCATCACTTTGAGAGCGTGTCAAAGAGTAGACAAGGAGGAAAGTTCGTGGCTAAGGCCCCGCATAGCATGCCATCAACAACAAATAGGGGACCATATAGACATTCCCAAGCATCCACAACAAACCCGAGACACACATGCTTGTAGTAAGCATGATAGTTTATCCAAGTGGGGCAAGGGGGCACGTCGACAACAATGAAGAAGGGTATGGGGGGCATGTCTCCAACCAGTGGACAAGGGGGCATGTCACCGACAGTGAAGAAACAAGTGGGGGCAAGTCTAGGAGTGTTCATCACACCCAAGCCCTCTACGATTTACCATCACGAGAGTGTGTTGAGTAATAGACAAAGAAGCCAGTTTATGCCTCACAACCCCCATGGCATGCCCAACATCAATGGCAAGCAAGATGGCATGAATAAGACATCTCGCACACCAACCAGACATGGTCCTACAGAGGGCCAAGGATTGTTATGTGCTAAGTGTAAGGATCGTGAACGCATAATGGTTGAACAAAGTGAAGTTGGCCACATGGGTGGTCATAAATTTGTTAAATCCAAATACCCATCTTCTCAACCATATGAGAAGAGTAAGCATGTGTCAAGTTGGGGGAAACTAAGGCAGAAACAAGTGGTAGTCCCTTTGATGAGTTAAAAGAGTTGAGAATGTCTACTGTACCACATAGATTGAGGCAAGCACATCAGGGTCAATGTCAAAACCTAACATATCTAGTAAGGTGACAAAGGCAGAGGATCATAGGACTCCTTGCAAGCCCACCAAGACAGGACAAGTGGAACGGATACTATCCATTGTTAAGTTGGATTTCAGATACCCACGGTAATACCTGTCCAGTAAAAGGAATATTATTATATCTAAAGTTCAACATGTATGTCTTCAATTATAACGCAAAACATAGATAATAAATAGCGGAAATCAACATGGTTATAGTATTTCGTAATAAGAAAAACTGTCAATCCTAAAATATTGATTAATCAATAAAATAAAATGAAAATATAATACTATATCAAATAATTCATCTTTGAATTTAACACATCTATATAGTAAATAGCTAACATAAACTTGCCGACTAGACAAAAACCTCGTTTGCTTCTAAAAGATTAAAGTCTACTAGACTACCAATTATTCAAACACACTAAGTTACATCGATATGCATCAAAATAATTCAAATGTAAAAAATTATATGCAATAACCTATTACTATCTCATCAACAATTTTGGTAAGTTGGTCATCTCCAAGATGATTCAGGAGTAAGTAGAGTAAAGACGACGACATTGAGAAATTGAGAAAGTAAATTGTAGTTGGTTGAGAGGGTTGAAAATTTCAAGGATTTTGATAAATATAAATTACATTTTAATCATATTTTCTTATTTAATTACCTTCATGCTAATATTAATTTATCAAAATATATTTATAATTTTTTTAAGTATAGCAAAATACTTTGATGGGGCGGGTTTGGGTATGGATATAGAGCAGGGGACGCTAAAATCATACCCGCCCCACACCTATCAAGTTCATTGCGGGTCTTACTCATACCCGCCACATACCCGGTCAATGCGGGGATTTCCCGCGTTGATTGGGTCGGAGGTGGGCGGATACCCGCGACCATGAGTTTGCTTGCTATCCTAGGAGTATCTCCGTATCAGCCGGTCTCCGTATAAGCCGGTCGATTCCCTTCCTCCGGTTGCTCGTCGGCAAACTCTGTATATTCCCCAAACAAAAACAAAAGGAGGGAAGAAGGAGAAAAACACTTTCGATCGATCGATTGGGAGAAACAAAGGAGAAGCTAGGGTGTCGCCTATACATACAAGGATGGGATAGTTACTTTAGTGATTTTTATCTCTCGATATTAGCCGGACAATATTCTGACAGAGTTTGTCATTCATTACAACTAGCAATGGCTTCCTACACGACCACATTTGCTGCATCACTAATGGCGACGGTTATTGTCCTAGCCGGCGGGGGGCATTTGCGCACTTCCCTTGGAGCCCCAATTTGCGGCGACACTCCGGCGAAAGATCAGACCAGGTTCGCGGGTTATGCACGTGGCGTTCTGGACATTCTGGTGAAGGACACGGCAAGTTGGCTCCCAAATAAGTTCACCTATGACGTGACGATTCCAGTAGAAGGCGGTCCTGGTTCCGCTTCCGGCACCGGCACTTGTTACGATCAGGGACACAAAACTGCCGACGATTGCAGGAAATGCCTCTCACAACTGCAGCCGCATTTGGAGAAATGCACAACCACCTCTTCGACCGCAGGAGCTTTCTATAAAGGAAGGTGCATGATTCAATTCTGGGAAAACTGGTACTAGTTGGATCACCAAATACATCGATTTATCTTTCAACGTCTGGGATATGGCATTCTTACTTGCAATACAACACGATGTGTGTTGGCTTTGAAGTTGTAGTTTCTGATTCCGTTTCATTTCCAATAAAGTTTCCTTCAGCTGTTCGCTTAGTAAGGCCCATTTTCACCTTTTGCTTTTATAGTGATGAAGACAATGTTACGGAAAAGGGTACGTACGTACACCAGAGGTGCAAGAAACAGTATCGAAAAATGCAGCATAAGAAGTGAAGAACCCAAAAAATAAGTAGCTTAACCGCCCAAATTTGCACAACAACCCATCAATAGATTCTATGTTTTCACATTCCAGTTCGAAAAGAAACCAATTCCTATTCTTTTAAATGCTCGAAAACCAAATCGATAATCAAGGTTCTGCAACGACACAGCGAGGCAATTTGTTGCGCAAGTGTTTGTGTCCTACAGCAGAAACTAATATCTACTGTAGAAGCAAGCAGACACGAAAAAAATGTCTCTTTAACGAGAATAATTCAGCAACCAAATAGTGCAGACAAAGGAGATCAAGTGACCAACTAAGATTACTACTTCTTCTCATCAAACCTTATCTTTATATGGCAGGAGAGCACTAAATTGATGCAACTGTAACCTAAAGTCACAAATCCAGGACTGGATACAAGATTTCTAATTCAGCAAACATCATACAGAGCAAACAAATTCGATCCAAACAAACAATTCAATGTGACGTAAAACAGCAACTAAACAACAGAAAACTACCGCCTGTGAAGAAATGACGACCTAACTTCAACAAATATCACCAACAAGGGGAAACAGACACCCTAGGAAACCAGGGAAGAGCACGACCGATCAAACAACCAACCATCGTTGGCAAGGAAAAATGAACGAGACTGGTCAACCGAGGTTGATTCATGAGATTAGGATACAAAACCAAGGCAGCATGTAAGTTGTAACATAGCGCAGAACTCTTAAACAGATGGTAAATCGAAGTATAACTTCTACTTTCTTCAGGCAAAAGTTCATTTGCAAGGTGGGGAGAGCAAGCACAGTAACAAACAGGTGGCACATGTATCCAGTTTCTTTCCAAACAACAGAGAAACCAATATAATCTATTAACTCAGAAACTTGAGCTTGAAACAATATGTAACTTCAGGATGAAATGACAGAACAATTACCAGCTAACCATAAAATTGAATCCCCAATTAGGTGATACAATTATCTATCAGGGGACTAAAATGCAGCAACGATTGCAATCTCGAAACATCCTTCAATCACAATACAACATAGCTCTAGGCAAAACACCCTGCAATACAATCTAAGCAGCATTTCACTAATACCAAATATTCGATGCTCCCAGCACACATTACTTCAGCAGGACAATTAAACAAACCACACAAGCATTAAGGAAACTGATCACCGATACCAGAACAATATGGCCAACAACAGTATCACATTCAAGCTAATTGCGAATTCAAAATCGTCCAAACTACAGAAATCAAAACATCAACATTCTTAAGTGGACTGTGAAGCAGAATCCTCTTAACACCCCAAAAACCCCTTAGAACACGAGCTACTAAGTTCCACTTTCCCTAAACAGCAAAATTCATGAACTCAGAATCAAAACAGCATCCATCCTTGAACCATAAAGGAAACGACTGAAACAACATAAGCAACCAGCAGAGACCTTTCAACGGTAAGACTTCTGGAACCTTGAACGAGCACCACGACCACCAAACTTCTTGGGCTCGCAACGCCTGGGATCAGCGACCAGCAAAGTCCTGTCGTACCTGATCAAGAGGTCCTTGATCTCCTTCTTGCTCTGCTCGTCGACGAACTTCTGGTAGAAAGCAACGAGGGCCTTGGCAATGCTCTGACGGATGGCGTAGATCTGAGAGGTGTGACCGCCTCCCTTGACGCGGATCCTCATGTCGACGCCGGCGAAGCGGTGTCGCCCGAGGAGGAGGATGGGCTCGACGGCCTTGAAGCGGAGGATCTCTGGCTCGACGAGCTCGATTGGAGTGCCGTTGAGCTTGATGAGCCCCCTTCCACGCTTGCAGTGGGTGACGGCGACCGCGGTCTTTTTGCGGCCGAAGCACTGGACTGACTCGGTGGGGGTCGGAGCCGCAACTGCCGCCATGGTTGGTGTTCTCTGGAAGGAAAAGCAGGGAGGGAGCGAAGAAACCCTAATTACAGAGTGCTATAGCTGCTGCAATCTATGGAGAAGGCGAAATGGAGGCGTCGTTTATGTTTTATGTAACCGGGTGGGGACTAGGGTTTTATTAGATGGACGAAGGTAGAGTGGCTGAAAGAGGCCCAAAAATGCTCCACTTCATAGAAAAGCATCGGCTCAAGCCCAACACAAAACAATCGAGCCAAACCTTTGTAGCCCAATGAGAAGTTGTTAAATTGGCCTGGCAGTCTGGCAGCACACTATGTTTGAGTTGAGTGAGTAAATTTGAAGAATAAATGTGCAAAAAACTTGAGTTTAATCTGCCAAGTTAGTTAGTAAATACTCCGTTTAATACACGTATATGTACCCGTACGTACTTTATCCGTTTAAAACTTCCGTATCCGTATTATTGTCAAGCCGTTTCATTTTTGTCCTTTCATTTGATGGCTCCCGTATTAAACACGTATAAAACCCGTATAACACGTTTAATATCCGTATTTAATGAGTTAAATTACTAACTTTACTATTATTTATATATTTATTTATTTTTAAAATGATTAATTTTTCTATATTTATGAAAATTAACGTACTATTAAACATAACATTAGCATACAGACGAAGTAAAATACCCGTACGTATTTTATACGTAACATTCTCGTACCGTATTTTACTAACTATGCTGCCAACATCTGTAATTTTACTACATGGTACAAATAGGAACGCATCAAAACTCAGACTGATCAATCAGGCAAATCGGTGGTGTATCTAATTCAATGAAATCTTGATTTCATTTCTTTTTTAATATTATTCAAAATTTGAGCTATTTTGTTGGTCTCTTATTGTATAAAATGCTAGATACTTGTATGATGTATCTACTAGGGCTGGGAAACAGTCCGGTTTGGTTTAAACCGGACCGGATTGACCCGGTTTTTTATAACCGGATTGATCATATACCCAACCGTAGACGGGATTGGATTGGTACATGGTTTTAACCGTGACCGGACTGGATTGATCCGGTTTCAACCCAAAAACCGGATCTCCTTTCTTCAATCCCAAAACACAGCCGTTTTCATAAAAAAAAAAAGACAGCTGTTTGAATAACAAAAAATCCCATTATCCTTCTCCTACCAACCACACAACCCCTAATCTATCCCTACTTCCCCAAAAAATTCACCCTATCCTTCTTTTAATCTACCTTCACGATTCTTCTTCTCCCTCTCCCTCTTCTAGATCAAACAAAACACAACACAAGCATCGACTTCTTATCCCTCAAGCACTACTCTGGCTCGCCCTATCGATGAGCTCGATTGAAGTTAGAGAGGCGATAAGAGTTGGATCTGGAGAATCGATTGGAGCCGCGAGATCCGGGAAGGTGAGATCGAGCGAGAGAGGGAGCATGCAAGCTCTGTATAGGCGAGGCATGTCGTCGCGGCCGTTGTGTGTCAATCGACCAGATCGCCTCGTCGTCACGGTCGTCGCGTGCCGATCGATCACATCTCCTAGCCCTCGTCGTTGCTGTCATGCGAGTTCTGGTGGCGGAGTGGCTACGGTCGGCGAAGTGCTGGAGGGAGCCAATTGAGGAGCTAGGATTTTCTTTCTCCTTCCCCTCTTCGTGTGTGTGGGTCTGTGATTGAGAATGAGAGAAGTTTGAGGGTCAGGAGGGGAGAGAAGAACAAAGAAGCTTGAATCAATTAGGGTTTCGGAAAGGGACCGTGGGCTGGGCTGTGATATAAGTGGAGTGGGCTGCGAGATTAGTGGGGTGGGCTGGGGGATGGGTTGTGAATTGTGATATTAGCGGGCTGGGCTGGGCTGAGATTTATTTATTTTTTTCTATCCGGTTTTTCCGGTTTTAACCGGATTGGACCGGACCTGTGGGCACTACAACCGGCAACTGGATTGGATTGGTTGGGATCCGGTTTCCAGTTTCAACCGACACGGTTTTAACTGGCCGGTTTCCGGTTTGACCGGAAAACCGGGACCGGATTCCCAGCCCTAGTATCTACAATCAGAAGTATTTATCGTGACTCAACAAATTTTGTTATCTTCAAGCATGGACGGATTGGCTCCATTTCATGATATCCGAACTGAGGCAATCTTTTTAGTAAGAAAGCGGCAGACTAATGTTCAAGCTATGGCTATTGTAGTCGGGATAAGCAGACACGAACTTCCGTATAGCGTAGAACTGACTAATCCTAAGACAAAGGGTCGAGAAACTCAAGGCCACTATTCTTGTCTTGAACAACACATTCTTTTCACACTATTACCAATACGAAAAGAATGGCAAAAATTGATTCAATTGTGAACTGCTCCTATCGGAAATAGGATTGACTACGGATCGAGCCATAGCACATGGTTGATGATTTTTCGTTAAATAAGTGTTAAGATAATTAGGAGTTAGGGGTGGCATTCGGTCGGTTCGGTTCATACTGAACAAAAATAATGCATACCGGATCCCTGAATTTCATCAAACCTCAAACCAAATTCGAACCGAATTATGATTCAGCTCGGTTGGTTCAAACCGAATTATAATTCGGTTCGGTTATTCATACAAAACCGAACTTGTGAGGTTAGCTTGTATGTTCTTTCTTTTAAATTATTTTTTACCACAAATGTAAACAATAAATATGCAATTATATGTATCATCAATGATAAAATCAAACATTTCAACACATAAGTCATAAAACACTACGTTTGGATGAGGAATTGTAACGGATCAATTTGACACAATTGTCTCGTTTTGAGACAATTGTACCAAATTGCCTCGTTTGTCAGCAAAAAAATTGGATGGATCAATCTGCATGAGGTATTTTGAATTGATCCGTTTTGAGTCAATTTCAATTACCTGGGGTAGGGGCAGGTAATTCGAATTGACTCGTTTTAATTGTCTCGTTTATAAAACGAGACAATTGATCTAATTGACTCATTTCTAGATTGATCCATCCAAACGACCCCAAGATGATTCAAATATTTAAGTCTCATAATAAGTACAAACATAAAAATCCACCATTTTGGAGCTTGCTATTATACTAATTCGGTTATTCGGTTCGGAATTCAGAAATTCGGTTCGGTCAAAAGGACCCTGGTTTCCGAAATATGTCTTTTACTCTTCCGAATTCCGAACTGAATAACATTAATCGGTTTCGGTTCAGTTAGATTCGGTTCAATTTTACCAAACCGTATGCCCACCCCTATAAGGATTGACGTGGTGTCTACATGTTTGCCACATACATATATGTCAATTGAGTCACTGATTTATATAAATTGTATTATTAAGATTAACAGTCATCCATATAGTTAGGTCGTCATCTGACTCATCTCAATAATTTAATTTACAAGATTTTTTTTTAATTTTCATTTGTACTTGTCCAAATGATTTTGATCATTTTAAGATATTGTCTCAGTATTATTACTCGAGTATGCTTAGGGGTCGTTTGGTTTTCTTATAGTTAAATAAATGTGTTGTAATCAACATTTGTATTAATTATGTTTTCAACAATTAAAAAGAAAAGTAATTTTTTAACTGAAATGTCACTTGTATTACTTCTTTTCAATGCTAAGGGTAAAAAGAAGTGGATAAAACTAGAAGATAAAAGAAGAGACAATAATCACAACTAGACAAACCCAATAATCTCAAGCAAAAAATATATTTATTTACTGTGCATAAAAATAAAATAAGATGATATATTATAAATACATAAGCATTGGTTTGGAGATTAGGATTTCAATTGATGTATTTAGCGAGCACATGTAATGTGAAGATATAGTCTTTTTTTTATTCAATTTGAATTAGAATGCATGTATTTACTTTTTTAGGGCCCATTTATAATTATTCATAATGAAAAATTGACAATCTCTACCCAAAGTAGAGATTGTAAACGAATAATTGTTTGCCAAATTTTCATTTCAGTTTTGTCCATTATTATTTTTCTTTATTTCGTAAATGTCCTCGTCAAAAAGGTTGGAGGATGAGAAGGAATAATAAATTAAGGGGAATTGTGTCTTCTAGCCCTAAAAAATGTTTTGTTTTCATTTATTTGAGAGTGGATTAACTACACATACAAAAATTGGACCTATTTGTAAAACTTGCATAGTTTGTGTACCAATATAAGACCAAAAAAATTATGTACTAAAATATAATTTTCCATCGATATTTTGAGGAATTTTATGCAAAAAAAAATTAAGTTTATGTACTAAATATGCATTTCTATTCAGTTTACGTATCAAACTGTAATTTACATTTGGGCATGGGTACAAACCCAAATCCATGTGTTAAAACCCAACCCAACACAAGTAAATGGTTATGGGTACAAACCCATCAAACTTTACCCATCTACTATCTATTTGGATTTCATACCCAACGCAATTGGGTTTGATAGTAAAATACCCATGGGCATGAGCAAAATTGTCATCCATAAATACAGCAATTGATTAAATACATCAACCGAGAGATTCTCAACTTCGAAACAACCCTAAAAAAAAACCAAACCAACCCTTAGTAATCCAATAGAAAATTGTAGTCAACAAAAGTGAAATACCAAATAGGCAATATACTATATACATTCAAACCTTAACAGTCTTCCTGTCTACTATTGCTCTATGCTCAAGGCTCCCAAGACGGTAGTGGATAAGATCGAGAAAATCCATCGAAGGTTCCTATGGAATGGGTTAAGTGAGACTAACAAGTTTCATCTTATTAGCTGAGATATCTGCAAAGCTGACAGACATCGAGGTGGCATTGGTATGGTTGACTTGGAAAGTTTTAACAATGTTCTCCTTGGAAAGTGGTTGTGGAGATTTGCAACTGAGAGAGAAAGCTGGTGGTGTCAGCTCATTGTTGTTAAGTATCCCGACCGAAATTCAGAATGGAGAACTAGAAACAACAGGAGAGGATTTGGCAGTTTAGTTTGGGTTAGTATCTCCAGAATCAACAACCTCTTTTGGAAAGGGGCTTGCATAGATCTTGGTGC